TGTCCCTTCACCCAGGGACATCTCCCGCTGCCCTGGGACGGCTCTGCTGCCCTCCTGGGGGACACAGGGATGAAACAACCCGCTGCACCCCCATAATGCTTCACCAGACGTTGCCATACGCTGCGCTTGCCATCTCGGCCCCCAGCCAAGCCCCTCGTGCCTGCTGTTTGCCCCGTGCTGCTGTGCCCGGCAACCCACCCTCCCTGCAGCAGCCCCAGCCACCAGCTCCCTGTTCAAGCCCGATTTCACGAGCACGACTGAAAACCCCAGGACTGCTCACAGACGAAGCTGAGCTGCAACAAAAAGCACCCAGGCAAGCATGAAAATCCGAGGGCGTTCCTGTGCCTGAGGCGGGCAAGACAAGGGTTACTCCATGACTGGGGCTCCTATTCTCTTTGCTTTTCTTTTCTGGAGCCGGGGTTTATTTGAAGTCCCAGCGGGTGAGTCACGCAGCCCCTCTGGAGGGGACACGGCCTCGCTCCGGAAAGCCCTTGTCATGGATGCCATGCGCCGGGGATTGGGTCTGCTGCGGGAGAGGCGGTGGGAGGGCTGCGGGGGGGTGACCTCAGAAGCGTTTAGTCACGGCACCTTGCAAAAACAATGGGAAATGCAATACATAGAGGGAAACCCAGCGCCTTTCTTACTGCTCCAGCGCACCTGGCATGCACGGATGAACCCAGGAGACGGGTTTTGGCTACGGCATCCCCAGGCTGGGGGGCACTGGTCACCCTTTGCCACCACAGTGACATGTGGGGATGTCTCAGACAGCATTTAGGGCTCTCCCAGCCCCCTCAAGCCGCGGGTGCAGGCAGGGTGGGTGCAGGCAGGCTGCCCGCTCAGTGAGGGCAGGCCTTGCTGAGCCAGGCAGTGCCAGCCCTCCGCTGCTGGGCGATGGGGAGAAAACGGGGTGGGTTGTTTTTTTTTTTCCCCTGCATAATTGCTTTTTTTTTTTTTTTTTTTTTTTTTTTTTCATCTGCCTGCTGCGGCAGGAGAAGGCAGATCTCAGCAGCTGTGGGCCCAGGCAGCTGCTCAGCCTCGTGGCCGGGTCCTAATGCTCGGGTGCTTTTAGCAAGAGGAGCAAAAGGAGTTTGTGAGACAAATGTGGATCTGCCTTGCTGGAGCTGGGGGAGATTTGTTTCCAACCCAGCCGAGAGCCTGTGGGGTTGGTTCTGGTTGCAAGTGGTCTGTCTGTCCGTCTGTCCGGATTTGCAGGGCTGTGTGAAGCACCAGCACTGAGCAGGTCTGGCGCAGGCGTCCAGGAGAACAAACCCCATCCAGGCCCGGCAGGTTTTGCCCCGGGGTGTTTGTGCCAGTGACCCCCAGGGCAGGGGTGGGTGGTTGTGGTGCAGCCGGAGGTGGAGTGGTGGCTCTAACCAGTAGGGCCAGTGCAGAACCAGTGCAGCCTGGAGGGCCTGGGGAGATGGGGGCCCTGCCCTGCCCTGGGGCAGGGGGATAAGTGTGGGGAAAGCCCTTGTGCCAGCCAGCTCTGAGTGCACCCTGTCACACCCATGCCCGTGCTCCAGCCCTTCCCTTGTCCCATTTCAGCTGGGGCCGGCGGTTCAGCTCCCTGATCCGGCTGAAAACCATCCCCTGGGTCCCTCCCATCTCTCTTCCTCCAAGTTTCCATTTCCGCACACTTCCCCAGCCAACAGCTCCATTTCCCCAGCCGGCTTCCCCCGGCAAGCGAGCAAGCAGCTGGGAGGGCTTCAAATCTGCCACGCTCCTCTTTTTCTGTGTTTGCTTCCACACCGTAGACATGAGATGTGTCCCTGTGCCCAGGGAGCCGTGGCAGCACCCCTGGGTGGTTCTCCCTGCGCTGCAGCCAGGCCGCTGTGCTCCCCGTCCGGGGGCCAGCCCTGCCGTGTGTGCCACTGGAGCGTGGCCTCACGCACAGCCACGCTGCTCACCCCCGTCCTGAGAAACGGCCTCGAAATACCCCCCTTGCACAGGAATGCCCGTGTTTTCCTTCCTGATTTGCCGGGGTAAATGTGGATTCCCCAGGGCCTAGATGCTCCCCAGCCTCGCTGGTGCCTGGCACGGGGCGCTGGGATAGCACAGAGATGGCGGGGGGGGGGCCATGGCATCTTTCACCCTTCTCCCCTTCTGTCCTGCAGCCCTGCAGCGTGGCCTGGGGGGGCAGAGGGGTGCAGGGAGGGGTTCTGGTAATGTAGGTGGAGTCTTGCAATGCAGGAGGGGGACTGTTAGTTCAAGGGGGTGTCTTGCAATGCAGGGGGTGGTCTTATAATGTGGGGGGGTACTGAAATGCAGAGGGGGTCTTGCAGTGGGGGTGTGGGTCTTGAAATGCAGGGGGTGTTCTTGCAATGTGAGGGGGTCCTGCCATTCAACAGGGCTCTTCCCATGGGAGGAGGGGTCTTGTTATACAGTGGGGGTCTTTCAGTGGGGGGGGTGGGGGTGTGTGTCCTGCTGTTGCAGGGGGCTGTTGCAGTGCAAGGAAGGGCCTTGCCACCTCAATGTGTCGAGATCT